AAAACATATATAATTACATATTGTTTTTGTGATTAGTCACTATGCTTTAATTATGTTCAATTTGTAACAATGAAATTGGGGGTCACCACAACATGAGGAACTATATTAAACGGTCGCGGCATTAGGAAGGTTGAGAACCACTGTGTTAGAACAAACACTTCCACACCAGCATCCTGTTTTATAAACAAAACTAGAGGCCCGGCGTATGAAATCGTGTGCGAGTAGTGTCCCTAGGCCTAGCCTGCGATCAGGGCCATCTTCTGCCCACTCGCCAGTCCCCAGTTCCACCCCGTTCCCCGTGGTTCCCTGTTCGCCATCCTGCGATCGGAGCCTGCGGGCCAGGGGCGGGGGGGCACCGAGAAGTGGTCAGTGTACCTCATAGTGACTAGTCGAGTGGTCGTTCTGGTCGTTAACACCATTATGGTTGCTGGGCTTTTATTATATATGATGATTGTATTGGAGCACAGCCATACCTATATATTTAATATTGTCTGTGGCTCTGTTTTTACTACAAAGGCAGAATTGATTGAGTAGAGACCATCTGGCTCACAAAAAAAATGTTTGCTATCTAGCTTTTTATTTACTTTTTTTAAATTGCCCACTTCTGGACCAGAACATAGAATTTTGCTAAGCTCCTAAGCTGTGCTTAGACAAATCTGCGGCCACCTACCCTCGCTATGACTGAGGACTCAAACCATGTCTCTTATCTGGAACTGTATTTGGCTACTACTTTGGTAACAGACTTTTGTTTTCAAAGATGGAGTTACCCACTTTCTAAGATAAAAATGGTAATTGACTCTTACCTCTTAGAGTATTATATGGTTCTCTAAACGGACACTGGCCCTATAATTTGCACATTAATTGAGCATCTACACATTCTGAGAGTTGCAAACTCAGCTCCCCGCCATGGAGGCTGCCCACTAATTTGGAGACATTTGAGGAGGGAGGTCTCCCTGCATCTTCTCCAGGGGAGCTTTACTCATTACATTTGGTGCGCAACTTGGAGATAGGAGCCTTCCTCCTCGCTCTCCTCGAAGTGCAGCAACTTGAGGGCAGGGTTTGTCTGTCATCTTCCCCGTTGCAGCCCCAGCCTCTGGCACCTGTCCAGTGTTCCGAATGAGTGAATGAAATGTCCTCCAGTTGGTAAAGCTGTAATGCAACAGACAGAAGTCCAGCCTTCTGCTCTTCTGCCTGATGGGTGTGATCTTTGCTCTGCTCCAGTTTTCCTAGCTTCTCCAGATCCGGCCATCCTGGTGCCTCTTCCCGCAGGCTGCTCTGTCATGGCATTCTCTCAGACCACCCACCCCTGAGTGCAAAGGTAAGGCCACTTTCGCTCTACTCTTCGCTCCCTGCCCAGGAATCTCAAGAGGCTGTAAGATCGGATGTGAGGCTGGCTCTCCTGTGGTACTGCGCTCTGGAGAAGGAGCGCAGCATTTGGAGGTGGGCCTGAGTTCGGGCCCCAGGTCTGCCTGTACTTGGACTGCACAGGTCTCTGAAAAATCGGGTGATTACACTTATTTTACAGTATAGTCACTGCGCTTTGTAAATTGTTATAGAAGTGATACAGACTTAAGCCCAAGCCCACCTTTCCTTAAAAAAATAAAACAAAAACCCCTTTTAAAATCCTAACATGCATTCACGTTATTAAGAGTGGGTTTTGTTGCTGTTGTTGTTGTTGTTGCAAGTGCAGATAGGGCAGAAGCAAAAAGAAAATTTCAGCTGAACTTTCCTTCTCAGATTTTGCTACTTTTGGCTGCTCTTATTTTTCTTAGCCCAAAGACTACACAGCACAATCCCAGAAATTTATAAATATTCCCACATATTATTATTCCTACAAGAAAGTACGTTGTCTGCAAATAGTATATATGTATGTATGTATGTATGTATATATATATATATATATATATCATATGTATATTAGTATATTATGTCTTTTTAAAATACGTTTTTAAAATTCCACGTGTCTTCTACTTCAACACACCAAGGCAGGAGGCTTTTATGTTAATAAGACTTGCATGAAAGACATTTTCCCATATGTCTCAGAATATACCTGAAGGTAGTACTGATGCAACCAGCAGGCAATCCAAGGGCAGAATTGGGAAGTGGTGATGGAGTATTAGGTATTTATGCTCACCCTCTACTTAAAACTGTGTAACAACCATAGAAAGTTATGCTTAATGGTAGCTTTTTTTTTTTCTTCAACTCAATGAATACTTCAGATTCGTTCTTAAAAATTGAACAATGTTTTTAAATTACATAAAAAATAAACCTTTTCTATATCCTTCATTTTAAACATCAGTAACAAAGTCATGGAATCTTGGAGTTGGGAGAGACCATAGAGGTTACCTAAAATAACTTGAAACTCAGTGAGGAATTAATTTCTGTAACATTCCTGCCAACCACTTGAAGATTTCCACTGGTGAGGAGCAGTCCGTTCTAGAAATCTGTACTGGACCCTCTCACTAATTTTAATCTTTGGGCTTCCATCTGCCTTCTGGAGTTAAAACTCACATATTGTTCAGAATATTTGAAAGCATCTACCATGGCTCTTCTAAGCTTTTGTTTTCTCCAGACTAGGACATCCCCCAGTGCCACTACTTCTAGTCCTCACGGAAGACGATAAACCAAATGCATCACCAACGACTTACATCTAACTTATTATCAGTGGTCCTTTTAAGATGGATGAAGTAAAGGGCAGGTTCTTTTTAATGCAAAGTTTTGACAGATTAAAGCGTATTTTACTTTAAGCATTATTAAATCAGGTAAACATAACGGTCACAGTTCACTCATTCAATAAATACAAGTTGATTCTCTATTCTACATCCAGCGGTGTGCTTCAAAGTAAAAAGAAAAATATAAACCTTACCAAATATGCACAATTCTTACGTAGGTTGATGCCACTTAATACCTCACACCTCCATTTGAAAAGGTTAATGTGTTTAGTCGTTCCTCTCCAGTGGCTAGAAGTACCTCTTGTAGGGAGGACTTGTGACAGTGCACATCATACCGCGAAAAATAATGTCATTCAGCCACGGGAGGACTGTAGGGCAGGAGGAAGGGTCATGCGAGAGGGGAGCCTGTGTGGAGGAGGATCCCGAAAAGTCCACATTTGGCTTTGTGTGCGCTGCTGCCGGATCCCGTCGGCTTCTATGTTCAGGATGCAGAACAACAGGAAGGTTAAGATCCTGGAAGAAACATAATCCGAGGGCTCTAAAAGAAGGCCTGCTGATTTGGAGGGGAAAAGTGGAGGGACTAGGATTTATTTGCCTGTTTAAATGTGTTTCTAGAGCGAGCACTGTCCTATGGGAGACATTGGAGCCAGCAGCGGGGTTTGTCGATAGAACAAATATGAGCAAACAAGAGTAAGCTATGGAGCATATAGTGTGGACTTTAACAATAGCAGTACCATCTACTCAGCTGTCACTGTGTGCCAGCCCCATCCTGCGTGTTTATATGTGTTACTTTATAAAATGTAGTTTCTGATTTAGGAGGTCCAGGGTGGGGCCTGCGGGTCTGCATGTCTATCAAGGTCCCATGCACTGCACTTCGAGGGTCTAGAGCAGCATATTGGAGTCACCTGGGAAGCTACCTGACCCTCACCACCCTCTGAAACTCCGAGGTGGTTAGCCCTGCGGGTATCCTGGTGTCGAGTTTTTCAAGTTCTCAAGGAGATTAGGATGTGCAGCAACGCTCGAGAACCACTGGGCTAAAGAAAGAGGCAGGAGAGAAGTTGTGAAACATCACCGATTATTTGTTTCTGATATACTCAGTGGTCAGAATGGTAGAGTTTTGTATTGCTTTGTTTCTGAATTAATATGTTCAGTTTGAGAAATTTTCCTCACGGGTGTGTATTTATAAGAAATAGGACATGATTGATGTGTGTACGGTACTTACAAAAGTGCATACAAGCACTTTCCCAGGCCATTTGCATAATATTCAGATATCTAGCAAGCACCTACTAGGTGCTAGGCACCAGGGATATGGCAGTGAACAAGGCAGGCAAGGACAGGCAATAAACAAGTAGACAAAACCTTTCATATAGGGTTACATGCTAAGGAGAGAATGGAAAATGTGACAAAAAATAAGGGCTGAGGCTACTGCTTGAGATAAGAGGATGGGAAGGACTCTCCCAGGTGACATTTTGCTGAGACCTGCAGTGTGAGAAGGAGCCAGCCTTTCCAGAACCGGCTTGTGAGTTAAGAGGAAGAGCAAGTGCAGACTCTGCAAGGGTGGGGAACATACACATTACATTTGCAATTAGAAAAAATTTTGTATATTTTTGAAAATAATTAAATTTGCTTTCCCTTTGCAAAAAATAACCAACATTTTTGCATCCCAGGAAAGAATTCCAGGTCATTCTGGTTTAAATAATGGTACTCTTTGTTCTGTTTCTCTGGAGTACTTACTAGTATTTTCATTTGAACTGAATCCCCCAGGTCACTCTCCCCTCCCCCACTTATTTCCCAGTGCCCAGCATGGTTTTGTTACAAAATAAGAAGGTCTGTATTTTTATGAATGATTAGTTATTAACTGTTACTGTTGTTAATACTTCAGATTTCAGGTTTTGAGAGTGGGAATCTTGAGTCTTTCTGTTTAAAGACTTGTGATGCTGCTTTCCTGTTTCTATCAAGATTCAGTGGTTGCAAGAAATTAAAATCCACTCAACCCAATCCTGGTCAAGGGGTGGGCAGCAGACTCCCTAGGATAGATAAGAAGGTAGTGGCCAACATACGTACTATTATTTGTAGTACTTTAAACAATAAAATTAAATTAAAAAAAAAAAAGAAGGTAGTGGCCAAGAACCTGAGATCTGGAGTCCTGTTTGATTTTGTCTCCCTCACTTACAAACCTGGGACTTTGGGCAAGATATTGACTCTCCTCAAGCCTTAGTTCTCTTACCTATTAAATGCAAACAGTAAAGGTTTTAAAAGTGCCTTAACTTGTGGGTTCTCTGGAACATTACACACCACGATGGGCACCCAGGGCCGTCATGTCATGTAGACAACTGCCAACACCGATTGCACACAGTAACCAGATACGCAAAATGACTCATTGGATTGCCAATTGACTCAATGTTTCTGTTGAAGTATAACAAACAGAAAGAAAGTGCACAAAGTTAGAAGATGAGTTATCCAAGTAAGCACATGTGTAACCACAATTTAGGTCAAGAAATAGAACCGTCAGCCCAGCCAGTCCTCTTCAGCCTCTCCCAGTGAGGATTTCCTCCCTCTCCCTAGTCCTCAATTCTAACACCACAGATTGCTTTTGCCTGCTGTTCAACTTTGTGTAAATGGAATCATGGCATCTCTCCTTGATGTGTCTGGTTTCGTTAGTTCCACATTATCTTTGAGAGATTCTCCATGATGTCATGTGAGGTTGCAGTTTGTTCATTTTCATTTTGTACAATGTGCTATGATATAAATGTATTTCTCTCTTCTACTGTGGGTTGACTCTAGGTAGGGGCTGTCATGAAAAGTGTGCTATTTTGAACATTCTGGGCATATTTGGGTGTCCTTATATGCATACACCTGTTGAGTTTGTAGCTAGGAGTGGTATTGCTCTATCATAGGGTACATAGATGTTCAGCCTTAGTGAATAACACTGAAAAGTTTTCCAAAGTAATTGAACCAATGTGTTCCAAAGAAAATTTTTTTTAACTCTAAACTGCTCTTAAAAAGTCCTATTTATTAACTAGAGGCCTGTTGCATGAAGAGATTCGTGCAATAGGCCTTCCCTTCTCCTGGCTGCAGGCACTGGTTTTCCTCCGGCACCCGGGACCCAGGCCTTAGCTCTGGCCGGAGCCGCCTTCCATCCTCCCTCTTCGCTGCTCCTGCTCGCCTTCAGCCTTTGCTCTGTCACTTGGAACCTATGTATGCAAATTAACCGCCATCTTTGTTGGCAGTTAATTTGCATATCACACTGATTAGCCAATGGGAAGCGTAGCGAAGGTACAGTCAATTACCCTGTTTGTCTATTATTAGATAGGAAGGATTCACAGAAACTAGTTTCTTAATTCAGTGATTGCAATGATGTTCTAGGGCAGGCTTTCCCAAAGTATGGAATTCTTCTAGTCCTGCCACAGACTCTGAGAATTAAAGTGGGTTCTTTGTTCAGACAAATTTGAGAAACATTGCATAATATATCCTCTTCGGAGAGATTGTACATTAACATGAAAAACTCTGAGGAGCCCTCCATTCAAAATTAATGGTTTAAGTTTTATTCTTTTGCCCCACTGAGCCCTTTTGAAGCTAAAACACCGGTTGATAAGACATAGACTCAGCCTGGGATTGGACTGGGCAGTAAGTTCTGGTGCTTAATCACGGAGGTGCCAATGACTTGTCTGGGATGGCGGTTTCCTATGATGGTGACAGCCTTGGCAATCTTCATAACCTGGAAGCTGACGTGCTCTGTCTCTGGAGGTTTTCTGGGCTTTCCTGTTAGTTGAGATGTGTTTTCAGCTGTTAAGGATCAACCACCCAATCAACAAGTAATTACTGGCAGCTTCTGTGTAGCCAGCATTCCACTAGGCTTGTGGGATAGGAGAGGATGTTTGCTTAGTGTAGATGATGTGGGATCCAGTTGGGGAATGCCTGTGCAGTTACATATAATCATGAGTTTATCTTTAATAAAATGGAAATTACTTTTCAATTATAATTTATATATAGTTTATTTCTTGGCAGTGACATGTGACATTATTATATAAGATCTCAGTAATAAAATCATGGTCTACTTTCCCATTGGCCTTTTTCTATGTTTCTGTTCGTCGATGTTTTCAGGGTCTTCTTCCTGTCCCTCCCCTGGGATTTGGATTTAGAATCATGTCAGGGTTCACCAAGCCCACTGCTCAGCTGGCCCAAGGAGGCCTATGCTGGGAGACCAGCTGCCTGTGATCTCACGTCGGGGCATGAGCCCATCCCAGACCTGAGGCCAGGCCAGTGTGATTCCCATGACGTCATAGTGTGTGCATCCGTCCGCATGCCTGCGTGCCAGTCCACTTCGGAAATTGCTGAGGGTCCCTGAGCTGATTGGGCAATCCATCTTCTCCCCCACAAACCTCGAACTAACTGAATTAGCATTGAGATTCTTGGCTTGGAGCTGGGGAAGAAAACCTCCTATGAAGTGAAATAACTTCCACAAGGGGCACACAGTCATTAAGTGTTGCAGAGCCAAGATGTAGGGTGGGCCATTTAGCTCTGATATCCAAGCATTTTTATTATGCTTTTTCTTCCTTTTTTGGGGTAAATTTCAAATACAAAGAAACCTATAAATATATGAGAACGCCTCTGTTTCTCTCACCCTGAATGAACCACTGTTTTATAGTATTTGTGGTTTAGTCTATTTTTTCCCCTTTTCGCCACACGCCTGTGGGAGGTATCCCTGCAGTCCCTTTACGAAGTAGTTACGGGAACAGAATTAAAGATAGGGTACAGCAGTGTCACTGAGAAGTGCCGTGTTTTACTTCCTGTAGTGGGGAAGTAGAGGTCTCTAAGGGGGAAGTAGAACTGTCGTAGAGAGACATGAGACACCAGCTGACGTGAGAACTTAGAGATTTTAAGTCTTGATTACCAGCCACCCTCTTCTGTGATGAAGTCAGGAACTCTGAATTCTGTGGACCAGCAGTATTTTTTTTTAAATTATAAAAGTCTCCCTTTCCCTCTTTGACCTCCCTAGTCCCCTGACCCATATGTCAATGCTGTTACGTTTCTTATGTATCTTACAGAAATTTCAAGCATTCTGACTACTGCTTACTACTGAATGTTTAATTGGTGAAATTAAAGGTCTTCCACTCACTCAGAAGAAAGAAATCCAGAAGAAGGTAATAAATAGAAATATACTTATGGCTTTGAAACCCCCTTCAGGTAGTGAGAATTCATCAAGACTATTTCTTTAGAATGATCCCTTTTGACAGTAAAAATCAATTTAGTGACACAGATAGAATGGAAAAGATGCCCAGGGTAGAACACAGCTGGTGATGGCAGCCTCTGTTTGTTGAATAACTAACATGGGCCACATACTTTGCACACATTAGCACAAATGTGCACGGTATTGACATCTTCAATATGTCAAGAGGAGGAAGCTGAGGCCCCAAGAGGTAAACAACATACACGCCTGCCTTGTTGGGAAAGGAAGGAGCTGGGCTGTAGACTCTGGTCTCTCTGCCCACCTGTGTAGTAGGAAGCCCAAATTCTGTTCTGGCCAGTCCTTGAGAGGCCTTTCCTGCCTTTTGGACTAGATAGTTCTTCTGCTTTTTGCTGCTGCTTTATTTTCTTCGTGGTCCCACAGGCCATAGGCATCATAACCACAGTCACATTTTCACATTTGGAAACGGTGGCTTGTAAAATGCATGTACGTTAACGTCTGTAATGAGAGTTGCTGTTTTGAGTTTTCCCCAATGTTGAAGAGTTAACAGGGCCTCCCCTGCCTACATGCAATTGTAAACGACTCCCTTTACTCAGGGCACTTTCCCTGCGTTTGTCCGAGACTCGTTAAAATGTGCTGCTTTGTTAGAATGAGAACTAGGAACTAATGTGAAACAAGAACTCTGAATTTTCCAAAATAATCAAGAATATTTGTAACCTTTATCTTGATGTAAAAAGCTCAACGATATTTTTGGTTGTTGGTATCCACTTGTTTACAGTTAAAGGAAGTCAGTCAGATTCGGGTGAGGATTTGGGGGTTTGCTTGGAGCTTTGTTCTCCCGCTCTTTCTCCTTAAGTAGCCAGTCAGGTATCATTTGGAAATGTGCTTTGGGTGGTGGGTGACCAGCCTGGTCTCTGGTCAGTCTTCCAGAAGCTGAGCCACGTGCTTCTGCGCTGCTGTGGATGGCCCCGCCTCTCCTGACCACACTCCCCAGTAGGATGTCACTGCGATCCCTCAAATGGAGCCTCCTGCTGCTGTCACTCCTGAGCTTCCTCGTGATGTGGTACCTCAGCCTGCCCCAGTACAATGTGATCGAGCGCGTCAACTGGATGTACTTCTATGAGTATGAGCCCGTGTACAGGCAAGACTTCCGCTTCACGCTTCAAGAGCATTCCAACTGCTCTCACCAAAACCCCTTTCTGGTCATCCTGGTGACCTCACACCCCTCCGATGTGAAAGCCAGACAGGCCGTGAGAGTTACTTGGGGTGAAAAAAAGTCTTGGTGGGGATACGAGGTTCTTACATTTTTCTTACTAGGCCAGCAGGCCGAAAAGGAAGACAAAGTGTTATCATTGTCCCTAGAGGATGAGCACCTCCTCTACGGTGACATAATACGACAAGATTTTTTAGACACATACAATAACCTGACCTTGAAAACCATTATGGCCTTCCGGTGGGTCACTGAGTTTTGCCCCAATGCCAAGTACGTCATGAAAACAGACACCGATGTCTTTATCAATACTGGCAATTTAGTAAAGTATCTCCTAAATTTAAACCAGTCAGAGAAGTTTTTCACCGGTTATCCTCTAATCGATAATTATTCCTATAGAGGGTTTTACCAGAAAGCCCACATTTCCTATCAGGAGTATCCCTTCAAAGTGTTCCCTCCCTATTGCAGCGGGTTTGGTTATGTGATGTCCAGAGACTTGGTGCCCAAAATCTATGAGATGATGAGTCACGTCAAACCCATCAAGTTTGAAGATGTTTATGTTGGGATCTGTTTGAATTTATTGAAAGTGGACATTCATATTCCAGAAGACACAAACCTTTTCTTTTTGTATAGGATTCATTTGGATGTCTGTCAGCTCAGACGTGTGATTGCAGCCCATGGCTTTTCTTCCAAGGAAATTATCACATTTTGGCAGGTTATGCTGAGGAACACCACATGCCATTATTAATTTCATGTTCTGCTCAAAACTTAGAGAAGGACAGGACACTTTGTGGGAAGCGTCGGGGTTGGCACTGTAATGGAACACTCCTGAGAAGGTCACTGTGTTGGCGTGCACTGAACTGAAATTCATGACGCACCCATAGACTAGAGACTACAGGCTTACACTTTACTTGTGTTATATTTTGACAGAAATCAGATCAGGCTCTTTAAAGATGATATTGAGAGGAATGAAACAAAGTCTTTTGTTAATAACAGGACCAAACAATTTGAATATATCATTCTGTAGACTAGAACTTCTTAAAGGGATTTTATTGAATTATAAGCTCATTAGTTCATAACAAAGCAATGTGGAGCTCTATTTATTGAATAGTATAGTCAGTTAATGGTTTTGTGTATCTCTTATGTGGATTACCAATTTTAAAAATATATAGTTCTGTGTAAAAACTTGGAGTTATACCAAACTATTACCTGTCTTTGGTCATTTAGAAGGTACTTCAAGGTGTTGCAGTATTTCAGAGCTATCAAATATTATTTAATATTACTTAGAAATTTTTGAGTGTTTAAATGTTATGTTTTTTCAATACTGTATAAACAGAATAGTGAATCACCCTTTACATTGGAACTCTTTTCCAGTTACTTCACTAATGAGTTATTGATAACTCCATTAATGTAAAGTTATTGGTCATTATTGTGTATCAGTAATCTCTTTAACTTTGATAAATATTTTATTGTGGTAATATAGAGAAGAATGAAAGGGAGAAAATCTAAACTATTGTCTTGTTTTTAAAAATATAATCCAGTGTTTTTAGATGTCACGTTTTCTACCTGGGAATTAGGGTTAACATAGAATGCCAGGCAGTGTGTTTCCTTTGGGAAAGGACTCTGAAGGCCAGACTACATCGAAAGGAATGTCGTATTCTGGTACTTGAGTTGGAAAGAGAAGACTAAAGATTTGAGTTACATTACGGATCTCCGTGTGTTTTCTCATTAGCAATCAGTTTGAGAATAAAGAGGGAAAAAAACAATGCTGCTCTGTTGTTATTAGTTTCACATCAAGAGGAAAGCCCTAATGTGTGGTCTAAAATCAAAGCTGATTTTCATGTCGTGTAGAAGTATATTTATTTTTTTTATGGAGGCACTGATGTCTCTTTTGTTGGATCTGTTACTAGTCGATTAAAGAGGAACCCTTCTTCCCCATATTCTTGGGATTGTGCAGTTTCCAATTATGACTGAAATGGGACAATTGATTCCTTTTTTCTGGATTAAATGATGGCAAGTGATCAAATCCTTTGGCAGAAAATATAAACTTGAAAGTACATAGTTAGCTCTTGTAATACACAAATATTTGTAATTCTTCTATAAGAAAAAATTTTAATTAGAATTATTGTAATTTGTGAGTCTCTGTAACAAGGCTATTTCCATGTCCCTGGGCTCAGACCTGATTCAGTCATAATAAAATCAATTCAGTGAAGTAGTCTATGGAATCAATCTATGCCCCTGTCAATCCCTGTTCACATAGGAGTCACTTTCTTTAAGACAAATGGTGATTATTTTTGTGGTATGATTAGATTTGATTAATTTTGTAAATGTTTATATTGTTTGTGAAGCTAACTCACAAGTTTTTAAAAGAGAACTTTAAAAAAAATACGTTTTATTGATTTTTTTACAGAGAGGAAAGGAGAGGGATAGAGAGGTAGAAACATCGATCAGCTGCCTCCTGCACACCCCTCACTGGGGATGTGCCCGCAACCAAGGTACATGCCCTTGACTGGAATCAAACCTGGGACCCTTCAGTCCACAGGCCGATGCCCTATCCACTGAGCCAAACTGGTCAGGGCTAAACGAGAACTTTTAAAATAAAAAAATAATTTCTCTTCACTTTAAAATAAGACCACAACAACACAGACGTAAAATGTGAATAATTGCCAAATTTCAGAAAACTGTTCCTTCTCAACTAGAGATTGGTGCCTAAAAGATCTTGAAAAAGTTAAATGATTATAAAAATCAATATGAGGTTGTGTCATTACATTTTTTGTTTTTAACTACATGTTTCTTTGTAGTTAAGCTTTCAGGTAAAAAAAATTAGTCCTCTGTGTTATTAAAATCTTGGCCTCTGATGTTTAATCACATAAACAGCTTTTTTTATTTTAACTCATAATCAGTTTTAACACTGGAGACCTTAGGCTACTTCCTGTCTGCCACCGCCCTGCCAGTCCCACATCTTACACTTTCTTTCGGCTTCACTCTTCCAGTTTGCTTGCCCACGAGCTCTGAGTTTGTGACCCCTCGCACATTAGCTCTTGCCAGATTATGCCACAAGTACAGCTGCCAGACCTCAGAGGTTGACACCATGTTTTCTTTTTACCCGCATTGCACACCCCTGGTTGCCATTGTTGGCTGGGGCCTGGGTGCATGCATTTCTTCATCTCAGGACCCAGGCTGAAGGGCAGCCCCGGTCTGGAGCATGCTGCTCTAAGAGGAAGGAAAAGGAGTTGGAGGAAACTCGGCGTACAGGTCCACTGACCAAAGCAAATCTCATACCAAGCTCAGTGAGTCTGTGTTTTCACAGGATATAGTGCAGGTCACGTTGGAGCGGGCCAGAATGCATTGTTCTACAGGGTGGAGGCTGAAAGTTGGGTACAGACATGTAATCTGCCACAACTAGTATGTGAAAGGGCTTGGGGGCGGGGGGCGGGGAGGGGGGTTGAGGATTTCCTGTGTTTCTGAGCTGGCTTGAGCGGCTCAGTGGTTTTTCTGGCTCACTTGGAGCTGGTGCTTTGGGCCCTTAACTGAGGGGGCTACCCCCCCCCTTGTTAATCTTTTCCTGCTCTACCCCACATGGTCTTGGCATTATGGTGTTCCCATCAGTCTCCAGATACAGAGCAGCCAGAGCTGAGCTGTTTATAACAACAGATTTTCCGAGCATGAGGTTAGGGATAAAGTGTGTTTCTCTTGGGGTCTGCAGGATGGAGGGAGGGAGAGAGGAATTGGAAGGGAACCAACTTTGAGGGGGAAACTGTGAATATGAGAAATGTAGCAGGCCTGTCCTGCTGACCCTGGGGTTTATCTGTGCTGTAATCCACTGAGAATTAATCTTCATATTAAGCCAACTCTTGGATTTTGTGTGAGCCGAAGACCAACTCTCATGGGGAACCCCTCTCACTCTCCCAACAGCTCCTTGATTATCCCACGTGTGGTTAACATGGGACCAAACATTCAAGGAGTCTATCAGAATAGATGGCACCTGCTGATGGGGTGTTGGTTGGAGTTGGAAGCAAGCACCGGACAGAGGCCCCAATGGCCAGGGTACAATTTGAGTGGAAGTCTCTTGACAGAATTTGTGCCCAAGAGAAGGACCATCTCATGGGTCTTGTAAGGACAAAGGATACAAAGATGGCCACTCTCGTCCTGTAGGTAAGTGATAAAGACAGGCACAGTCCTGGCCAGTTTGGCTCAGTGGATAGAGCATCGGCCCGCAGACTGAAGGGTCCTGGGTTCGATTCTGGTCAACGACATGTACTTCGGTTGCAGGCTTGATCCTGGGCCTGGTCAGGGTACCAGGTGGAAAGCAACCAATCAACGTGTCTCTCTCACAGCAAGGTTTCTCTCTCTGTCTCTCCTCCATTCCACGCTATCTGAAAATCAATGGAAAAATATCCTCGGGTGAGGATTAACAAAACATAAGAGAGAGGCACAAAACCTGTATTTCGATAGTCTTTAAGTCCTGGGCGTGGTCAACACAACCCCACGGGTAGTGAAATATTAGAGCTGGGAGAGATCTTTTTTTTTACTATATAACTTTTATTTTTTTAAATTTTGTTTTATTGCTTAAAATATTACAAAGAGTAGTACATATGTCTCTTTTTTTCTCCCCTTGACATTTCCCGGCCTCCCCTACCCCTCAATGTCTTGTATTGGTTATGCTTATATGCATGCATACAAGTCCTTTGGTTGATCTCTTATCCCCATCCCCCCAACAACCCTCCCGGCCTTCCTGCTATAGTGAGCATTATGCTAAGTGAAATAAGCCAGTCAATGAAAGAAAAGTACCACATGATCTCACTCATTTATGGATAATAAAGACCATTATAAACTGGGAGAGATCTTAGAAGTCTTCTCACCATGGTTTTCAGGCTTGTCTGTGATAGGAAAGGAGCTAATGAAATTTATGTACAATTTTCAATATTACGGTGGAAGGTGCCAGTGAGCAGCAGCAAATGGAGGGCAGGCAGCGACTCCAGCAGTCGCTTCCCTGTATGACACAGTCCTGTAGCCAGGCCCCAGGGAGAGGTCACTGGGGCCTCCAATGACATCATACCAAGTTTGCTGCATATGCATTTCAAAATAAAAGTATGTCCTCAGCACCCATGGCTGGGATGCTCACTTCTGGAAATAACCCGGGACTGTGTAGGAGACAGGGGTGTAGAATCCAGGATTCTGGAGGGTGGCGAGGGCCATGGCCAATGAGTCAGCTCCAAATAGGAACCGGGGTCTTTGTGCCACAGGCTTCCACTTGTTTCCTACAATTTCTTCTTCGTCTTCTTTTTAAAATATGTTTTTATTGATTTCAGAGAGAGAGGGAAAGGGAGAAAGAAACATCAATGATGAGAGAGAATCAGTGATCGGCTGCCTCCTGCACACCCCCTACTGGGGACCGAGCCTGCAGCCTGGGCATGTGCCCTGACAGGGACTCGAACCATGAAAACCACGAAGCCGCACAGGCTGGGTGCTACAATTTCAACGAAAAGGTGTCCATCACCCAGGGGAAAGAACACAGTAAAATGACATTATGGCCACCCTGAAGCCACCTGTAACGGAGGATAGATTTCTTTGCTATTTCAGATCCTAAGGCCAGAAACACTAAGGCTCTCTTAATCTTTAGGAAGCCGAAGCAGGCTGCCTGGGTTTGAACCAACAATTCTCTGATTGCTAGCTCCAGGACCTTGGGCAAATCACTTTACCATGTTTGTGCCTCAGTTTCTTTACCTACAAAAATGAGGGAAATGTCCTGCCTAGCAGGGTTGTTGGCACATAGCTATATAACTATTCGTTGTTATCATTTTTGTTATTGGCAAAAAAAAAACCCAAACTACTTCTGGACTTCTAAAACAGTTTTTCAGACTTTGTCCCGGAGCACCCACCCTTGGTGGTGGTTAAATAAGTCATCTTAAGGCATCTTGCTGCTGCCACTCAGAAATCAGCGGAGGTTCTTGGGGCCCACAGACTCTGACTTCCACCAGCCCCGCTGCGGCCCAGGTTGCCCGAGCTCCGTGCAGATGCAACCCTCCCAGGGCTCTGGGCTTGGTCTCCATCCCCGTCCCAGCTCTCTGTTCCTCTGTCACTTCCCTTCCTTCCCACTGCTCTGAGTCCGAACTCAGCACCGGGGCTGGGAGAATGGCGAGACAGGAAGAGAGGCAGACAGACACCTCTGGGCCACCATGAGGAGGAGGAAGAGGAGGAGGAGGAGGAGGAGGAAAAGAAGAAAAGGGGGGAGGAGGAGGAGGAGGAGGAGGAACCTGCCAGCCACCAGTGGAGGAGCAGGACTCAGGCTGCTGCAGAGATTTCTTCTCTGGCATCCGTGAGGTGATAACGGGCCCGTCCCCTTCCCAGGTGAGGCCACCAGGTCCATCCCATGAAAAGATGCATCTTTCAGTCTTCCAATACCCTGATGACTGCCAGTTCCAGGATGAGGCATCCCTCCTTTCCTGACCGAAAAGAACCCCCTCCTTCCCACTGTCTCCCCATCCCCTCGCTGTGGGAAGGCTCCCACACAGCCAGGACCTGCCCAGGTGAGGAAAGACTCTTCGAGTCCTTGGTGGGTGGCTCTGAGCTTCAGACCCAGCAGAAATGCTTCAGGGGAGAGGGAAGTTCTCCAGTAAAATGGTGAGTCGGACGGTGTGTGCCCTGGAAAAGGACACGGCCGCAGTGGGCCTGGCTGGTGTTGCTCATTGGTTGAGTGTCGACCCAGGAACCAAGGGGTCACTGGTTTGATTCCCAGTCAGGGCACATGCCCC